CGCCCCACCGGTTTCTGCCTGTTTTCTTTCCATTCTCCTCCGCACCCCGGCGGGGGGAGGGGCGGCCGCGTGGCGCTTTTGTTGCCGGCCGCAGCCGAACCATAACACCACAAAAACACCTTTGAGTTCTGCTTACAGCATTGCACTCTGTGCAGGGTCAGTAAAGTCCTGAGAGCCCTAAGCTTAGCTTATTAAGGATCAAAACGCTAATGGCAGCTCAAAGGTACTGCGGAAGTATACTCTCCTGTCTTCAAAGCCTCCTAATTCAGCAGCCACTTGCATCCACGTTAGCTTAGCTAGTGGCTTTAGAGAGTACTTCATCCTTGCCTTCAGCAGCGCAGCGGGCATGGTGCTGCGTGATCTCCAGCTGAATAGACCGGTTTCGGCCAATGCCTACAGCAACAGTGAGGGTTCCCTGGCCTAACTGATGTGGGAGGTTGGGCAAGATGAGCTTAATAGTCCCTTCTGGCCTTTAAAGCCTGTGAATCTCATTTGTTTTCTTCTCTTTTCTTTCCAAAGATGAGGATCACTTTTCATCTGAAGCTGACGCGGCTGTTAGAGAGATGACCAGAGGCGCAGTCCTGGTGGCACAGGTACGCGAGAGCTGTCTGGAAAAGCCTCGTTGCTGAGTTGACCGCTGCTGGTACCCTCTCTGTCCCCGAGCACACTGTGCATGCTAAAACTGAAAGCAAAGCCAGAGCCTTTAAGCCCGGCAGCTGGGCAGGGTTCTTGTCGAGAAATCCTGGTGCGGAGGGCTTCCTCGTGTAGCACCAGCATCGTTTGGGACTGTGGCTGGGAAGGGAGGACTATTGCCTCTTGTTAGGGGTGCGGACAGGGAGGAAGGGCACCTGGGTGGGTTTGCAGAGCACAAAGCAGCCCGTTGTCCACAGATCAAGTATTCGCCTGGGTCTGCGCTGCTTTGCCGGTCTCTGCTGCCTTTACAACGCCATTGGCCAGGTGCTGGCCTTGGGCTGGCCAGAGGGAGAAGTAAGGCTGCTGGCAGTGTCCCGAAGGCTTCTGCACGCAGTGCGTGATCTTGATGAGACCTTTAGCTCTGAAGGGCTCCTGACAGTGGCTGTAGCTGTCCACGTGAGCTAGCTGGGAGGAGGGGGCAGCTGGCAGCGTTTGTGATGCTCAGTCTCACGGCTTGGTTTGATGCAGTGCTCAAATGCGTCGCTGATGCTGGCAAGGGCCTGGCTTTGAGTGACTGGAGCCAGCTTGGCAGCACGGTGTCCCCGCTGCCTGGTGGCAGCAGCTGCTGTTCCTCTAGCCTCCACGTGAGTTGAAGTACGGAGTATCTGCTAGGCGGTGAATGATGCCAGCCCCCATCCGCCATGGCTGAGACCAGAATTGCTGCATGCTGATGTTCTTCTGTGTTTCCAGGTCACGAATTATGACAGTGCGACAGGTCTGCCGCTGATACAGCTGTGGAACTTGATGGGAGATGAGGTGTGTATGTCAACATACGCATTTTTTCAGCACTGTTAAAGTTTATGTTTCTGCAGACTTCTCATTGTTGGTTAGGAACTTGCTGATGTTTCTTGCTAGTGGTTTGTTCACCTTTCTACTTTTCTTTCACCTCCCTTCAGGTGGTGTCCATAAACAGAACTCTGGTGGAAAGAGGATTTGCTCAGTGGCTTGACTACTAGCAATGTCCTAGATGCCTCGACGCTTTCTGCAGAGAAAAACAAAAGAATAAGTCTTGTTTTGCACTGTTACAATTTGGTTTGGCAACCTTTCGTAGACGACCTGTTTACACCTGTGTCCCGAGTTGTGTGGTCCATTGAAACCGGTTTTGCTCAGCTGTTACCATGTCACTAGAAACACATACCTCATCTCGGTGAAGGGCGGGTGTTAAAAGCCATAATGACAGATACTGTAGCTTTAAAGCAAAAAATCCTCCCTGGCCGCTCAAAAGCGGAATGGGAAAAACCTTGGGGCTTGCCTGCAGCCAGCAAATGCCCCTGAAACACTAACTGCGGTCGCGTTTTTGTTCGAGATGTCCCGTGCCCCGTGAACTTCGTGTCTGCTTTTCCTGAAAGTTACATCGGTTGTCCTGTTTTTAACAGGCTCTGCCTATGAAATTAATGAATGTAATTAAGGAATTTAATGTTCAATTATGGATTTTTTGGTATTGTGCCACTAACCTGCACAAACAACATTCATCTGCGTCTTTCTGATGCCGGGAGGTAGATGAATTGCGTTCGTTGCGCTTGCTGTGGCACGTGTCTCGCCACAGTCGTGGTTTTTAGGCTTGATGCACTTGAGGAGGAAAGCTTCTCTGTGCAGAGCTCGAAGGGCAGGATGTTACCACTACGGTTTTTCCTCTGAAATGTCATGTATTTAAAGAAAAAAACTGATTGCCAAGCCCAATTGTAGTTTATATTTTTCTAGCTGTGCAAGTCTGTAAATATATATAAAAAAACATTGTAATATTTTGTACAAGAAAAACACTGGAAACAAAGGGAACTTTACAGAAACTTTTTCATACCAAAATGTCCGATGTAGGTAGAACTGGTTTGGAGTGCATTAGGGTAGCCGACATGCTTGGAGCATCTGAATGCTGCGAGTGTTTCAGCTCTGCTGTATGCAGGATTAGCATTCCCCTGGATTGCTGTCTGGTTCGAATCGTGAGCACTGCATTCTTTGCTATGTTGCTGTACAGATCTGTTTAAAAAAAAAAAAAGTTACAATTTGGCATTAATATTGCGGTGGTGTTTTCTCTCATTTTTTTTTTCTCCTTTTTAGATTTCTATCACGTATTTAAAATTTTGCTCCAGTAATTTAAGCTGACTTAGTACTCTTAAACTCATGCCCCTCTAGTGTATATCATTTTGGATATGTGTGGAGCTGGGGTTTGTTGCTGGCGGAGAAGATACTTGCCAGGAAAATGTTGATGTAGTCAGTCCTGAGAAGTTTTTTCAGGTGGATTCAAGGATGTCCTTACATCCTGTGAGCTGACACGTCCGTGCATCACACGTTTGGGGAGTTGCCTACAAAAGCATTTGGTCCGATCTCTGATACAGTATGGTTATATCCTTTTTTGAGTTCTCTCCTATGTGGCGCTTATGATTTAATGTTCATGTTTGCAATAACATCCAATGACAACTAAATTTGGTTACTCGGTTAAATCTATAAAACATATATCCTCTTGCAATGTGTCTTTCCGTTTCAATTAAAGCTCGAATTTTAAGCTGTCTTAATCAAACTGTGATGACTGAGAGCCTTCATTTCCCGACTTGTTGCGATGTAGAGTTGGGAAGGGAGCTCGCTGGGGTGAGCAGGTGAGACGATCCTGATGGTTTTTCAGCAGGCGCAGAAAGGTCGAGCTTCAGATCGCCGGGGGTTCCTTTTACTTCCAGCTGAAAACTGGGATTATTTTTATGAAGAACTGCTTATTGGGAAGCCTTAGTCTGAGCACTGGTGCTCAAGGCTGTTGAAACTGTTATGTATTTGTGGAATTCATTTACTCTGGACCCAGGACATCCGTTTTGTCCCACTTTTGTGTTGAGAAGTGAAACTTGGGAGTCTTTCTATTGCGCAGGCTATAAAATCCCCTCTTTAAAGTGTTGACGGGTTTCTTGTCCAAGCCCAGCAGTGCTGTGAAGTGGTGTCCCGGTGAGCAGTTTGCCCTTACCCCCTGGTGCTGGAGAGCCTCCCAGCTGGAAAAGTCCGTTCTTGCAGCAGGACGTGCTCACGCTCTCCGCCTGGAAAACAAGCGAAGGCGTGGGCTGGGCTGGCTGCGCCAGGGCTGCACAGAGCAAAAGGCCTTGGACTCGAGTGCTGCCTTTGGTCTGGGGATGCGTGCACGTGCGCACGCGGTTCTTCAGGCTTCCAGATGTCAGTCTGCCTGATCTCAAGGGCTGAAACCAATCCATTGGGTTCATTGCAGAGTTATACACACAAGCTGTAGATGCTCTGGACTACAACTTTGTGCTGCTTAGGCAAGTAGCAGGTGAAGAACAAAACGTGGGGATGTTGGTGGGGGAGCAGCGGGGTTGGAAGTCAGCAATGTTCGGCAATGTCCCTCCTTGTTCTCCCCCCAGGAAGGGGGGTTTCACTTCACAGGGCTTCTCCGGCCTTGCTAGCCTCAAGAATCTGCCGAGGGATGGCTTTCGCCATCGGGCATGATCTCCCGGTGGAAATTTGGTAGCTGGCTGCTTGCGGTGCGGGTGGGTAACACGTTGGCACCCTGAGCGCGGTGCGAGGTGTGCTGGGCTGTGCGTGCGCAGCCGCTCTGCCGCTGTCGCAGGCAGCATGGGTGACTTTGCCTCAGGTCGCCTGCCCGTTGTCCC